TCATCCTCTCTCCCACCTCTCCTGCTCATTTATCTACAAGCTGACTCCTCATTTCGAATGGGTTCCATTCCCGAAACAGTTCACAAGTCAATTTTTAGATAAGGCGGAAAACAATACAGGATGAAATAAAATAGCCATTCATGAGTATGAGGAAATGTTCATATGCTGGATCATTAAACTTAATATTCATACACCCCTGTTCATAAGTAAGAGCATTCTGAAGTTGAATGTTCGTAAATCATGCACTGCTTGTAGTTGTTCTCAATTCTAATAATTGTTCACACCCTGAGCACAAAGTACTGATTGATCTGTTGTATAGTTCAACATTTTCTCCCTGATAAAAAGTGGATGAAATTATTTACAATTAAAAATGTGTTTGAAATTTTCTGTATCACAATTTATGGCTAATACTGTAGGAATGAAGCTGAGCCTAACAATGGGGACGATTTATTCCTATAACATCTGTGTGTGCTGAAAGAAAAGCAGTCCCATACTGAAATCTTTCCGAAACTTCTACAGTTCAAAGGATCTGAATCTAGATCTGCTGCAGATACCCAATAATATCATTGTTATCATCTTCATCAAACCACTAACCAACATTTACAGCATTTACTGCAGTGGTTCAAGAAGGCAGCTCACCACCAACGTTTCAAGGGCAACAAATGCCGGCCCAACAAGCAAGACCAACATCTGCATACATATATTTAAAAAATGATCTAGCTGAACGGTGGAGCCCTCAAGGGGCTAAGTGGCCCATTCCTGCTCCAAATTCAAATGTTCTAACCAATAGGCAGAGATTTAAGGCCATTGACAAAAGAATTGCAGAGAAAATGAGAGAAATGTTTTTCCAGAGTGGATCACTGTGATCTGGAATACAGATCTGAAAAGGTGATATGGAAGGAGTTTCAATATAACTTTTGAAAGGAAATTGGATAAATGCTTGAAAAAAAGGGGGAAATTAATTACAACTTCTGGGAAAGGTCCAGCAAAGACACAATGGACCAAATGGACCTCTCTTGTGTTGCAGTGAATCCATGAATGAAAATAGCTTGCGTTGTTCCCTGCTGGGATCCAGCTAACTTTGTACAGGCCAAGTGATTAAACCTGGAATCTCCCTCCAGGATTGACATTTGGAGTTTGAGAGCCCAGACTGTTCCAAGATGGAATGCTTGCCAACAGCTTCTGTGCAAAACTTCTCCGTATCGACAGAAGCTCGACTGAAGTCAAGAGGGATTGCAGAGGATGCACTCATGGTTCTGGGATTGCTGACAGCGCCTGGAACACGTTCTAACAAGACATGCTGTGTAAGTTATAAATAGAACTTGGGCACGGAGCCTCCCCATCCTAGGGCTGGAGATGGCCGAGACTAGGGCTTGTGTCTGCCAGTTATCCTGTGTATATTGGAGGCACAATGGATGAGTGTGTTGTACAGACACACAGGGTCTTGGCCTCCGAACTTTGTTTCAAAAGTCCTCTCCTTTGGTGAGCTAATTGAGAATTTCCACCACCCGTCCCCTCTAACTCTGAGTGAATATTGCAGCCTGTCACCTCTCCACAATGGGCACCAGATGTTTGCAAGTTGTGGTGTGTGTCACCATCACATGCAAGGATTGGCACAAGTGGACTCTGATGGTGAGTCTGCCAATCCGCCTCCTCACTGCAACCCTCAAACATCCCGTGGCATAGTCCTGGAGCTGCAGTTCAGCAGGTAGCATCTCTAATGGGAGTCAGAATGTCAGGGGTTCAAGCCCCATGCCAGAGACCTGGGCATAAAACCTGGGGCAGACATAGCCAGCACTGTGCTGGGGGAGTTGGATGCTTGTCTTTCAGATATGCTGTTGAACGAACACAAAGTTGTCCGTCTGAGGTAGGCATAAAAAAAAATCCCCTGACGCTATTCTAAGGATGACCGGGGAGCTCTCCGAGGTCATTGCTTCATCCAACATCAAAAGCAAAATTGGCGATTTGGTCATTACCACATTGCTGATTGTGGGACCTTGTGTTCCCTCCATGACAACAGGGAATATGCATCAAAAGTTTTTAGTTGGCTGTAAAGTGCTTTTGAATATCGTAAATGGTTCTGAAAAGGGCTCCTGTCCTCTTGATTAGGACTATATTCACTTCCTGCAGGGGAAGGAAGGAGATTCATAGAAACCTGTTAAAATCTAACAGAACTAAACAGAGTAAAGGCAGAAGATGTTCCTGATGACTGGGGAGTCCAAAATCATGGGTCACAGTCTAAGGTTATGGAGTAAGCCATTTAGAACTGAAATGAGGAGAAATTCCTTCATCCAGAGAGTAGGGAGCCTGTGGAATTCTCTGCCACAGAATGCGGTCGAGGGCAAAACATGAATATTTTCAAGAATGAGTTAAGTATATTCAATAGGGCTAAAGGATCAAAGGGTATGGGTGGAAAACAGGAACAGGATACCGATTGGATGATCAGCCATGATCATATAGAATGGTGGAGCAGGCTGAAAGGGCCGAATGGCTCTTATTGCTCCTATTACTACATCTCTATGCTTAAATGAACAAATTTCCTCAGACAACCTCATGAAGTGCCTCCATGGTGCCTTCTTCAGCATCTGTTCTTCCCCAACAGAGAAAAATTGAACTTCCAATGACCCAATGGGCCACAATGCATTTGAAGCAGAGTCTCAGAGGTCAAAAGGCAACAGCGGTTCCTGCTGTTAGAGATACCTGGTACATAAAAGGTCACAGAGCCTATGGACCTGTTCCTGCTCTTAACGCTGTTTGGTTTCATTCACTTTGAACCTAAATTTCAATGCAACTACGAACAAATTGGCCTCGTTTCTTGCTTCTGAGATTCTAATCACAGGGCCTGTTGCTGGAAACTGAAGCTGCCATGGGTACAAAGTGCATTAACCAAGACAGAGAGCAAATACCATGAGCATTCAACCCTCTGCCAGCTTTGGAATAACACACAAACCCCCTGCCCTGTGTAGAAACATGCCACTCTGTAAGTGTTTTATTAGCCAGTCAGCTACTCCCAAAGTCTAAATCAGAAAACAGTGTGAGGCAGTCAAGTGTGGGTCCACCCAGTTTGGACAAGTGCCCTGAAGTGGGACGCCATCGCCAGATTTGGTAGTGGCTCATGTGATAGCAACATGTGGGCCTTACCGCAGAGAGGAGGCCCCTTGTACGTCAGGCTCTGGTCAGGTTCCAACCTGTCCCTCTGAAATGCCATTCAGAGATGTCAATGCAGAGAGAGCTGAAGGGAAGGTCCCAGAGCTCATTATATCACACAGAAGGTAAACAAGACAAAATGTGACTCGGATAATAACCCTCTATTGGAGACTGAGCAATGAGTAACAGTAGCCAGGGGCAGTGGAAAACTCATTCCCATATGTATGTACACCTCTCTGTCAGCATCTCTATGTAAAACCACACAATAAATATAAGAGAACGATTCACTCTGTCTGATAGACTACAGCCCAAGTGTGTCCAGGTGTCAGCTCTTGCAGAGCACTGAGCAGGAGAAATAAACAATTCACAGAATCACAGAAGTATTACGGTGCAAAAGAAGGCCATTTGGCCAATCGCACCTGCAACAGATTGTTAAATTAGCATCATTATCTATGAGGGGCATGGATAGGGTGAATAGCCAAGGTCTTTTCCCCAAGGTAGGGGATTTGGAAACTAGAGGGCATAGGTTTAAGGTGAGGGGGAAAAGATAGAAAAGGGATCTAAGGGGCAACTTTTTCAAGCAGAGGGTGATGGGTGTATGGAATGAGCTGCCGGAGGAGGTGGTGTTTGGTGGGTACAATTACAACATTTAAAAGACATCTGGAAGGGTATATGAACAGGAAATGTTTAGAGGGATATGAGCCAAATGCTGATAAATGGGACTAGATTAATTTAGGATATCTGGACAGTATGGACGAGTTGGAGCAAAAGGTCTGTTTCCATGCTGTACATCTCTATGACTCTATGATTCTAGTGCCAATCTCCTGCTTTTCCCCCGCATACCTTTGCACAATATTTTTATCAAAGTAATCAACCAATGCCCTCTTGAATGCCTGCACTAAATCTGCCTCCACCGCATTTCCAGGCAGTGCATTCCATATCATAACTATTTGTGTGTAGAACTTATTTTTTCCTCACTTCATCCTTCCTTCTTTTGCACATCATTTTAAACGCAATTTAAAGGCAAAACACAGATGTATTTTTTTTTATCAATCTTAACTCTCTATCATCTGACACCATACACTCCGTATATGACTCCTTGTCAGCTTTTTCCCCTCTGTATTCTTTGATAGGATGCAGTCTTCATCAACAAGGCCAGTACTTGTTGGCCACCTGAATGGTTTGCCAGCCCACTTTAGGGGGTAGTTAAGAGTCAACCACATTGCTTTGCGTCTGGAGTCATATATTCGTCCAGACCGGGTAAGGACAGCAGATTTCCCTCCCTGAAGGCCATTAGTGAACCAGACAATCGAGGATAGTTTCACAGTTACTATTAAGACCATAATCATGAGAGATATAGGAGCAGGAGGAGGCCATTCGGCCCTTCAAGCGTGCTCCACCATTCACTAGTTTCATGGCTTTTACTTAGACCAGCTTTTAATTTCAAATTTAAGAAGTGAATTTAAATTCAACCAACTGCCATGGTGGGATTTGAATCCATGTTCTCCACTCCCAACCACCCGGCAAAAGCTTCAGCCTGGGCCTCTGGATCAGCAGTCCAATGACAATACCACTGCATCACCATCTCCTCCCGCACCTGACCCTGTACAGCAAACAGCATGCAAGTGGGTCTGGCTCATTTCTATCTGGTACTGTACAGCACCTGAGCATCTCAATGTCGGCTCCTGCACAATGCACCAATAGTGAAAGGGAGTTACTGACTCCACTACGGTACTCACTGCTTCCACTGCAGTTCTGAACCTGGCAATGTTTCATGCTCACAGCACAGTAAACAGAGGTGACAGACTTGTCATGATTCCTATACAGTGCACATGTATATCCCTGGGATTTACCTGATAAAGTTCTACCCGCTGCTCTGGAACAACCGCTACGTCCCGGGGCATTCGATAGAGTCGGAACTCAGCTCGATGCAAGGAGGACTCACTGGAAATATTCAAGGAGATGTTGAACCGGTAGGTTTTGTGAGAGGAGTCATCATCTACACGAAAGCACAGTCAGCAGGTCAGCAAAACATTCAAATAATAACATTTCTGCAGCTATGTTGCCCATTCAATAACAGGTAAAATAACCAGTGGAAACATAAATCATATCCAGGTGGAGCAAGACAGGTACAGCTCAGGGTTAGTTACCAAGTAAAACTTCCCCTACATCATCCCCATTAAACACTCCCAGGAGAGGTACAGCACAGAGCTAGATACGGTGTAAAATTTCTTCTACACTGTCCCCATTACACATTCCCATGACAGGTACAGCACAGGGTTAGATACTCAATTAGGGCTGTGAGTAGAGGGTGATAATGGGGTTTGGAACCTGTCAGAGCAGGGTTCAGGGCCTGTTACGCTGAAGGATCTGAAACAGCTCTAATAACTGGGCTACAATTCCATTGTGAACATTACTGCCTTAGAGCTCAAGGCCCGCTTTGAGATCCTGACCCCCACTTCGGGAAGCCCTGCTGTAGGTTCATTTATCAACAGAGTGGATTTGGAAAGGATATTTCCTCTTGTGGGAGAATATAGAACTAGGGCTCACTGTTTTGACAATAAGGGGTCACCAAATTAAAACAGAAATGTGAATTACTTTCTCACAGAGGATCCTTAGAATCCCTACAGTGTGGAAGCAGGCCATTCGGCCCAAGTCTACACCAACTCTCTGAACAGCATCCCACCCAGACCCATCCCCCTGCCCTATAACCTGCGTTTTCCCATGGTTAATGCACCTAACCTACACATCCCTGAACACTTTGGGTAATTTAGCATGGCCAATCCACCTAACCTGCACATCTTTGGACTGTGGGAGGAAACCAGAGCATCCAGCGGAAACCCACACAGTCACAGGGAGAACATTCAAACTCCACACCGACAGTCGTCCAAGGGTGGAATCAGACCCAGGTCCCTGGCACAGCGAGGCTGCAGTGCTAACCACTGACTCTGCTCCTATGATGCTGCTTGGCCTGCTGTGTTCATCCAGCCCTGCACCTTGTTGTCTCGAGCTACTGTGCCACTTTGTTGGAACTCTTCCTCAAAAACGGTGGAGGCAGACTCTTTGAATATTTTTAAAGCAGACATGGATTTTAAGGGTTCATTATTGATAAGCAACGGGGTGAAAGGTTATTGGGGGTAGGTGGGAATGTGGAGTAATCAGATCAGCCAGGATCTTATTGAACAGCTGAGCAGTTTCAAGCAGCCAAATGGCCTACACCTGCTAATTTGTAAAAATCTCTGGTGTTCTCTTCTAGTTTATGTCCTAACTTGAAAAGAAAACAATAAAGACTGAATTGGATGGCTTTTGCAGGAAGGGTCACCAATATCCTGGGTGGGAGGTTTGCTAGAGCTCTTCAGGAGGGTTTAAACTAGTTTGGCAGGAGGATGGGAACCAGAGCTACAGATCAGAGAATGGGGTAGCTGACGTACAGGCAGATACAGCATGCAAAGAGTCTGTGAGGAAGGATAGACAGTTGACAGGGCAAAGGTGCAGTCAGTCCGATGGGTTAAAGTGTGTCTATTTTAACGCAAGAAGTGTCAGGAATAAGGGTGACAAACTTAGAGCATGGATCAGTACTTGGAGCTACGATGTTGTGGCCACTGCGGAGACTTGGATTACACAAGAGCAGGAATGGTTGTTGGATGTTCCGGGGTTTAGATGTTTCAAAAGGAGGGAGGTAAAAGAGGTGGGGGAGTGGCATTGCTAGTCAGTGATGGCATCACAGCTGCAGAAAGGGAGGTCATCGAGGAGGGTGTGTCTACTAAGTCAGTATGGGTGGAAATCAGAAACAGGAAAGGAGCAGTCACTTTATTGGGAGTTTTCTATAGAGCCCCCAATAGCAACAGAGACACTGAGGAACAGATTGGAGAGGCAGAATTTGGAAAGGTGCAGCAGTAATAGGGTTGTTGTCATGGGTGACTTCAACTTCCCTAATATAGACTGGAACCTCCTTAGTGCAAATAGTATGGATGGAACAAATTTTGTCAGGTGTGTCCAGGAAGGATTTCTGGCTCAATATGTAGACAGGCTGACTAGAGGGGAGGCTATATTGGATTTGGTGCTTGGCAACGAACCAGGCCGGGTGTCAGATCTCTTGGTGCGAGAGCATTTCAGTGATAGTGACCACAACTCCCTGACTTTTACTATAGTCATGGAGAGGGATAGGAGCAGACAGTATGGGAAAATATTTAACTGGGCGAGGGGGGAATTACAATGCTATTAGGCAAGAACTGCGGAGCATAAATTGGGAACAGATGTTCTCAGGGAAATGCACAACAGAAATGTGGAGGCTGTTTAGGGAGCACTTGCTACAAGTACTGGATAGGTTTGTCCCACTGAGGCAAGGAAGAGATTGTAAGTTAAAGGAACCTTGGATGACAAGACATGTGGAAATCTAGTCAAGAGGAAGAAGGAAGCTTACTTAAGGCTGAGGAAGCAAGAGTCAGACAGGGCTCTAGAGGGCTACAAGGAACTCAAGAATGGACTTAGGAGAGCGAGAAGGGGGTATGAAAAGCCTTGGCGGGTAGGATTAAGGAAAACCCCAAGGTGCTCTATACTTTGTGAGGAACAAGAGGATGGCCAGAGTGAGGGTAGGGCCGATCACGGATAGTGGAGGGAACTTGTGTGCGGTGTCGGAGGAGGTAGGGGAGGTCCTTAATGAATAATTTGCTTTAATATTCACCAGTGAGAGGGACCTTGACGTTTGTGAGGACAGCGTGTAACAGGCTGAAATGCTCCAACAGCTTGATGTTAGGAAGGAAGATGTGCTAGAAATTTTGAAAAACATGAGGATAGACAAGTCCCCCGGGCCAGATGGGATATACCGATTACAATGGGAAACGAGGGAAGAGATTGCTGCGCTTTTGGCGGAGTAATACCAGATGATTGGAGGGTAGCAAATGTTATTCCCTTGTTCAAGAAAGGGAATAGGGATAATCCTGGGAATTACAGACCAGTCAGTCTTACTTCTGTAGTGGGCAAATTATTGGAGAGGATTCTGAGAGATAGTATTTATGATTATTTGGAAAAGCACAGTTTGATTAGAAATAGTCAGCATGGCTTTGTGAGGGGCAGGTCATGCCTCACAAGCCTTATTGAATTCTTTGAGGATGTAACAAAACACATTGATGAAGGTCAAGCAGTGGATGTGGTGTATGTGGATTTTAGCAGGACATTTGATAAGGTTCCCCATGGTAGGCTCATTCAGAAAGTTAGGAGGCATGGGATTCAGGGAAATTTGGCTGTCCAATGAAAGACAGATTGTGGTAGCAGATGGAAAGTATTCAGCCTGGAGCTCGGTGACCAGTAGTGTTCCGCAGGGATCTGTTCTGAGACCCCTGCTAAATGTGATCTTTATAAATGACTTGGATGAGGAAGTGGAAGGGTGGGTTAGTAAGTTTGCCGATGACACGAAGACTGGTGGAGTTGTGGATACTGTGGAGGGCTGTTGTAGGTTGCAGTGGGACATTGACAGGATGCAAAGCTGGGCAAAAAAGTGGCAGATGGAATTCAACCTGGAAAAGTGTGAAGTGATTCATTTTGGGAGGTCGAATTTGAATGCAGAATACAGAGTTAATGGCAGGATTCTCGGCAGTGTGAAGGAACAGAGGGATCTTGGGGTCCATGTCCATAGATCCCTCAAAGTTGCTACCCAAGTTGATAGGGTTGTTAAGAAGGCATATGGTGTGTTGGCTTTTATTGGCAGGGGAATTGAGTTTCAGAGCTGCGAGGTTATGCTGCAGCTCTATAAAACTCTGGTTAGACCACACTTGGAATATTGTGTTCAGTTCTGGTCGCCTCATTATAGGCAGGACGTGGAAGCTTTAGAGAGGGTGCAGAGGAGATGTACCAGGATGCTGCCTGGACTGGAGGGCAGGTCTTATGAGGAAAAGTTGAGGGAGCTCGGGCTTTTCTCTTTGGAGCGAAGGATGAGAGGTGACTTGATAGAGGTGTACAAGATGATGAGACGCATAGATAGAGTGGATACCCAGAGACTTTTTCCGAGGGCAGAAATGACTATTACGAGGGGTCATAATTTTAAGGTGATTGGAGGAAGGTATAGGTTCTTTACACAGAGTGATGGATGCGTGGAATGCGCTGCCGGCGGTGGTAGTGGAGTCAGATACATTAGGGACATTTAAGCGACTCTTGGATAGGCACATGGATGATAGTAAAATGTAGGGTATGCAGGGTAGTTTGACCTTAGAGTAGGATAATAGGTCAGCACAAAATCGTGGGCTGAAGGGCCTGTACTGTGCTGTACTGTTCTATGTTCCGTGTTCCATTAGCATTGTCAAGCAAAAGGCCTCCGTCTGTATACTGCACATTTGAAGTGAAAGCCTTGTTTCCTGTGCTCCTGGACATGCGGTGAAAGGGGAATAGCTGTAGATGATAAACCAGGCGCTGTTTCTTTTTTAATCTCCTCACTGAAACGGGAAGCAGAATGACACGTGATAACTTTGAGAGGCCCAGCTGTGTGTTGCTCTTGAGAGCCTGAATACTCAGGGTACATTTCACTCACATGTCTGCTGGCAAGACAGTGAAAGCAGGGAACAATTAATTGAATTGAGGATCGGAAATGGAATTACCCGATGGTTAAACGCTCCAGTCATTTTATGACACTCATTTTTAAAAAATTACAAGTTTATCAATCCCCAAATCTCCATTAAGGTTATGATTATGGAAAATTATTTCAAATGTACAACCTATGATGAGGCCAATCTGCCCAACTGGTCTATCATGGTCTTCATCCTCCACTTGAGCTCATGCTACAAAGATTCATAAGGCATTTGACAGGGTAGGCACTAAGACATTGCTCCTCCACGGCTGGGACATCTGGAACAGGAGGCAGGGAGGGCCATAATCTCAGGAGGGGTGATAGTGGCCATGTCACTGGACTGGTTGTCTAGAGACTCAAGGTCTAGGGACGTGGGTTCAAATCCTACACAGCAGCTGATGGAATTTAAAATCAATGAATAAATCTGGAATTTAAAGCAA